GACAGCTGCTTCCAGATGATGAAACACTTTGAATTCTTGCCCCCAAAAAGGAATAAGGAAGTCATGACATTTCTGTTCTTTGAAGACTATATATTTATTTAACAGAAATGTCTATATTTCAGGCACAATCTAAGTACTTTATAAATACCAACCCATTTAATCTTCATGTCAGTTAAAGGCAAATACTACTAGTACGCTCATGTTGCAGATAAAGAGCTGAAGCTCGGAATAATGTGCCAAGTTGGTAGACCTGGGCTTTGAACCCAGGAAGTGTGACTGTAGAGCCCATGTTTCTAACCACTGTGCTGTGCTGCATCAGGACCAGCTCCCAAGATGACCCATGGCCCATATTCCCATCTTGCTCCAGTCTAAGTACATCCAACCAGGTACCTAGGTGTATTGCCCTTCAGGTCGCTGACACTCAAGAAATAACAGGAAAAGGCCCAGAGATGAGGCTCTGAAATGATGGGGGAGATGTAGGCTTTTCTGTATAAGGACAGAGGAAAAATGAATGTCTTTTCCAGAGCCCTGATGTAAGCATGGGGATAGACTTTAAACATTTATTTACTAAATTCTAGTAAGAGAACACTGATTTGGTCAGCTTCCATAGGAAACATTGAAACCTGAGAGGTGAGGGGCACTTGGGTGGCTTACTTAAGCGCCTGACTTTGGCTCGGGTCATGATCTCATGGTTTGTGGGTTCGAGCCCCATGTCAGGCTCTGTGCTGACAGCTCAGAGCCTGGAGCCTGCTTCGGGTTCTGTGTCTCCCTCCCCCGCTCATGCTCTCTGTTTCTCAAAAATAAATAAATAAATAAATAAACAAACAAACAAACAAACAAACATTTAAAAATAAAAAAAATAAAACCTGAGAGGCAAGTTTTTACATTAGTGAATGTAAAATGTTCTTCTCTGCACGTAGTCTCACTTTACCTCTAAGACCACCCTGGCAGATGAGGATAATCAAGATCATTTTGATAAATCAAGGACACCAAAGCTCAAAGGTCTTACCTAAGGCCACATAAGCATCCATCAGCCAAACTGAGCCTGGGTCTGTGCCAGAGGCTGGCCACCCCCCACCCTCTCAGGCTGTCCGGTTTGCTCTGCAAGCAGATCTCATAAAGTCATAGCTGCTGCTCAGAGGAAGTCAATTCCTGGACCTAATTATGCTGAGGAACATTATAAAGTGAAAAGCACTTAGGTTCAAAGGAGGTTTACACAGATTCTGGGGCGACAGCCTAATATTGCAGTAAGGGTTGGGGCCGTGTCTCGAACTTTTGACGAAGTTGTTCATTTCACAGGGGTCTCCTAGGTGCCGTGTGCCTACTGTGTACAAGGACTGTCAAGGTCAAACATGAACTCCTTCCTTTGTTGCCCATTGTATGTGCAGTACTGAGGATCATGCCCTCGCTCTCCCGTCCCCCACCCCCCCAAACGAAAGTTCAGTAAAACCTTGGCTGGCAAGCATAATTGGTTCCGGAAACATGCTTGTAATCAAAGTGCGTGTATATCAAAGGGAATTTCCCCATAAGAAAAAATGGAAAGTCTGATGGTTTGTCCCACGACCCAAAAATACTCATATAAAAATGATTATGATACTGTAATATAATATAAAATAATAAAGAAAATACAAAATATAAAGAAAACTAAAAAATAAACAAATTAACCTGCATTTCTCTTTGAAAACCTTCATGGCTGGGGTGAGGGAGACGAGAGATGAGGGTTATTGGGTAGGACGACGTTCACTGTCACTAACGGGATCATTGCTAACTATCAGCTCAGTGGAATCTTTTTCTTTTCGTGCAGCTTTAACAATGACACTTGCTTTTGTCTCCTTTTGAGGATTTCATGAAAATGTGACATTGCATTGTCTTTAAACAGATTCATCGCTCACAATTACAGCCTTATTCAGGTGGTGCTTTTCTACTAAATTTTGCACTGTTTCCCACATTTTACACATCTCCCTAAACTCATTTGAAGTGAGGGATCCCTCTGCCGATTTCTCCTCCTCCTCTGTGGGTGAGATGCACATGAAGACTTCTTATAAAATCTTACTATTTTGGCCACTCGCATACCTTGTTGGTACTTCTTCTTGGTGATTTCTTTCTTAACTTCCACCGTAATCATCTCCTTTTTACCGCCTTTCTTTTCAATCTTTTTCTGCATGGGGGCCATTGTTTACACTCACATGGATGTTGACTACTGTACAGTATTAATAAACTCTTGTCATATATTTTTTTAAATGTAACTGGCAATAAGGCAGCAGAGGAAAGGGTCTCTATCTGCAGGCAGTCTGGGAGAATGAAGCAAAGCATTCCTAAGCTTATTCTCGCATGGAAAAGTAAGGACTGTCCATGGGTGCTTTGAAGTGACAAAAAATACACTAGTGCCAGTTGTGGGCACCTTCCAACGTTCTGAAAAATCACTGATTTCTGCCAAAGACTGTGGCCTGAGACCGAGCATCTGAGCATGGGAGATGATCACCACAATCCCACAGAAAGAGAGAGAGACAGAGAGAGAGAGAGGGAGAGAGAGAGAAAGGAGCCATTGGCTCAGTTGTGATCATGTGATGTTTGGCAAGCTATTGCTCATGTATTAAGTTAAAATTTGTTAGAAATGTTTGCTCGCCTTTGTGGAACACTCACAGAACAGAACAAGTTACTCGCGAACCGAGGTTTCACTGTACTCATATGGAGTTTAACTGTAGGATAGAAACGGCATCAATTTAGAAGGAAAGACTGGGACAGATTGTGGGGTAATTTTGAATGCCAAGATAAGCAATTTGGCTCCATCCTGCAGGAAAAGGAAGGCCAGTGCAGATTTTTAAGCAAGGGAATGACATCACCATCATCATCACAATAAAAATAATAGCTACTATTCACAGAGCACCTGTGAACCCTCACACCCATCCCAGGAGGTCAGAACTAATATCAACCCCACTGAGCAGAGGAGAGAGCCTAAGGAGAGAGATAACACAGCTCATAAAGGGTACAGCCTGGGTGTGACCCCACATCGACCCGAATTCAGTTTATTCTCACCCCAAACACTGCAAGATCTTTGCTTTAGAACATACCCTGCACAGCACATAGGGATGGAGGTGTGGGAACCATCCACATTTTACTGGGTGGCTAAAGGCATGAGAGATGAAATTTAAGAGAAGAGCAAGGAAGAGCAGAGCAGCGAGGCGAGAAGCGGCTGAGGCAGGCAGTGTTAAGGAAAGCATGCAAGTGTGAATTTTAAGACAGAAAGAGGGAGGAAATGGTGCAGAAAGTTACCTAGAGGTCAGGCAGGATGGGGAGGGACAAGGGATTGTAAGATGTGCCCAATGAAGAGGGCTTCGGGGACTTCACCGTCAGCACTCTCAGAGGAATGGTGGGGGTGGGCGCCAGATTGCTATGGGCTGAGGAATGAGTGGGAGGTGAAGACACGGCCAGCAGCATGTAAACTCACTCTTTCAGGAAATATGATAGTGAGGGGGAGGGGAGGAAGGAGGCCTGAAATGGGAAGATGGAGGCAGGAAGGGTTTTCTAGGAGGGATGGAGGTGGGGAAAGACTTGAGCAGTTGTGAGCCAGAATGAAAGGAGAGGCTGAAGGCTACCGGATGGGGAGGTTCTCCCTGAGAGAGCCCCAGAGGGAGCTCCAAGGGATGGATGGAGAGCACAGTGGGAGGCATTAGTGAGAGCTCACGTGGCTGGACTTCTCCGCGGCTGTGAAGTGACAGAGTGGCCCCTTGCCCACTAATTTTCTTTTCCTTTTCTTCTTCCTCCCCTTCTCCCTCTTTTGCCATAAGGATTTACTGAACACCTACTATGTGCTAGGTCTTGTGCTAAGTTCTGTGGGTACTATAATGAATGAGACAGTGTATATCATCCTTGGACTTGAGTGGTGAGATGGCTATTAAACAAGAAGATGCACAAATATGTACATTGTGTAACTACGCATCGTATGATAATGCTAAAAATGCTAATGTTCATTGAGTACTTTCAACATACTAGGTACTTTATATGCATTTTTTCATTAAGTACACACACAGCATAAGAAAGGCGTTATTTGGTATTTCCTTTTGCAGACCAGGAAATTCAGGTACAGAGGTCAGATGACGTCACAGAACTCAGACAGGTGGAGCATGAGATTCCACTTGTATTCGCCTGTCGTCAGACAGATGCCCTTAACCGCCGCACTGTCCTGGCTCCTTGTGTTTAGCACAGTGAGCGCCAGGATGAACAAGGTCAGGAGAAGTGCCCATCCTACAGGAGCTCACAAGCCTTGAGAAGCGGGAAGAAGCCAAGTTCATTTACTCCCTTCTGCCTCCAGGTGTGGTCTCCGGACCATCAGCATCCACATCCTTTGGGTGCTTGTTAGAAACGCGAAAGCCCCAGCCCAGCCCGACCCGACCCACTAGATCAGGATGCGCAGGGACCCGCAGGTGCTCGGTGCGCACCTTAAAGTTGGCGATGCCTAGAGCCACTTCTCTTATTAGAGACGGGCAACCGAGGCCCAGGCTTTTGGAGATTACGGTGAGTGGTGGAATTTGAGGGTTCGCTGTCAGCAGTCCAACCTACGCCCCAATGGCGCTTAAACTCTCGCCCTAAGGCCAGCAGGAAGAACCGGTTAGGCGCGCAAGGTGCTCGGCGCGCGCAAGGTGCTCGGCGCGCGCAAGGTGCTCGGCGCGCGCAAGGTGCTCGGCGCGCGCAAGGTGCTCGGCGCGCGCAAGGTGCTCGGCGCGCGCAAGGTGCTCGGCGCGCGCAAGGTGCTCGGCGCGCGCAAGGTGCTCGGCGCGCGCAAGGTGCTCGCGGGCTCCGGGGCCCCGCCGGGCCGAGGCGGCGTGGGCGCCCGCAGGGCCGGGCCGCCGCGCCGCGGCCCGGTCCCCGCGCCCGCCCGGCCCGGCCCCTCAGCTCCACCCCCTGCCTCCCCCTCCCGCCCGCTCGCGCCTCCTGAAAAGCCAGCCCGCCCGGGGCGGCGGCGCAGAGCCGGCCCGGCGCACGAGGCAGCCAGCGCGGCCATGACGGCGGAGAAGGCGCTGCCTCTGGGCAATGGGAAGGCTGCCGAGGAGGCGCGGGAGTCTGAGGCGCTGGGAGGCGGCGGCGGCGGCGGGGGCGCGGCGGCCGCGCGCGACCCGCGCGACAAGCGCGACAAGGCGGTCCACGAGCGCGGCCACTGGAACAACAAGGTGGAGTTCGTGCTGAGCGTGGCTGGGGAGATCATCGGGCTGGGGAACGTGTGGCGCTTCCCTTACCTGTGCTACAAGAACGGAGGAGGTGAGGCGGCGCGCGGAGGGGACAGCGGCCCGTGGGGGCGGGGAGCAGGGGGGCGAGCGAGCGCCCCCTCCCGCGCCTGCGTGCGGCGGGACCCTGGCGGGGCACGCCTGCCCGGGCTCGCCCGTCCCCGGGCGCATGTGCACGTTTCTTCGCACCTGGATGCGCCGCCCGCGAGCACGCGGGACGCGGTCGCCAGGTGCGTTGTGTGCCAGCGTGGGGTGGCCGGGGACAGCCCCTTGGAGCCTCCGCTGTCCCAACTGGAAACCGGTGTGAAGGAAGGGGACTCCCTGATCAGGATCTGTGTGGACTCGGGTTTTGAGCGCTTAGTGGAATGCCAGACTCGGCTTTACCTCCGTCGTCTCATTTCGTCCTTAAAGGCCTCTTTGCAGGCAGCGGTAAACCCATTTTGCAGATGAGACTGCGAAGGGTCAAAGAAGTAACCCCGTAAGAAATAAAGACGGGATTCTGACACCAAGGCCTTGGTTTAAACTGGGATTGGACTGCCAGCAGGGAGAACTCTTAGGTGACGTTTAGCTGTTCGGTTTCCTGCCCGGTCTTTCGTTTGCCCTTAAGGCCTTTACTAGGTCCCCCTTTCGGGCCTGTCTGGCGGAGGCACGGGCACCGAAGGGTTTCCTTCGCGGGTCTCAGAGTCACCGACAGATAGCGACAGCACTGATTTAATGTTTAGGAGATGCTTCGAGATTGTGGAGGGGGGGGGGCCGGAAACGGAAGGTGATGAGACAGCCGCTCCCCGCGGCGCGTCCGAGTCAGCGCGGTGGACAGTCTGCAGTGAGTCCCCAAGTCTTGGAGCTGCGGGACTTTGGGAGTCCCCGCTTGTCATACCAGCAAGACAGAGAGTAGGTGCGTGGCAAGGGACCTCGTGAGGCCTTCGTGGGTGGCACGGCTTCCCCAAGGAAAAGCTGGTGGCTGTGTCTCCCTCCCTCTTTGCTGTGCCCTGCCTGCCCCTCAGCAGATTCCCAAGACCCCAGTGGGGGCGGCTCAGAACTTGACTAGCAGGGACCACACTGTAGGCTGCGCGAGTAGGACTTCCTGTTGGGGCAGCTGCAGGAAGAGCGAGAAGGACACTGCTTGGCCCAGGCCCTTTCTTTGCAGACATTCATCCTGGAAGCCCAGGCTGCCCCAAGCCTGCTCTGCACTGGTAATGAAGTGGCCGCCGGTGTTGGTGGCTTGGCACTGGGGAGAGAGGGAGTGGACTCGGAGACCCGGAATGTGCCCTGTGGCCTCAGCAGGGAGTTCTGCCTTTTTGCAGATTCAGCCTTTCTTAGCTGCCATGTCTTCTTAGAAACCTGTGGAAACCCTGTTGAGGGCAGTCCCAGGCAAAACTCGTCTTAGCATCTTTGTTTTTAATACGGGAAATTGTTCTACCCGAACAAAATGCCCTCCTAAAAGGAGAAGACAGCGTGAGTTGAGTTAATCGCCGGTTCTGCACAGAGTAAAAGGGAGGGGGAAAAAAAAAGTTGCAGTGAGTAAAATTTAAAAAGTAGTCGTTTTTTGTTTTTTTGTGTGTGTGTTAACTCTAACTTGCCAACAGTCCCCATTGGGTACACAAATACCTTGCTTTCATTGACCTGGTTATTTTCAGGATTACTAGCACTGCGAATACATGGGCTAGAAGTCTTTCAGATCATGCCATCTGTTAGGTCCTCGGGGGTTCACAGGTGAACCAGCACAGAGTAGCGAAACTGCTGCAGCTTCTTCCAATCACTTAGATTTATATTCAGCAAACAGACCCTCTTGCTCGCTTTCACACACTTTTTGCCTCCTGATACAGCAGGGCTGATTATCCACTGCTTGCCTTTAAAAAAATATATATCTGTACAATTCTATTCATAGATCCCAACAATCGTTTAAAGGATTTCTTTCCCAATGTGAAACTTAAAAAAAAAAAAAAGTATCTTGCCCCCAAAAAGCTTTTCAAAGACGCTTTCAAAGTCTGATGGATGTGGTCCTCCTATCAGGATTGATCAGAATTGTTGCTATTAGTTCTAAGGTTGAAGAGACTTCATTTCGCAAAAAGCAATTTCAGTTAAAGCCTTCATTTGTTAGAGCAGAGGGTGAGGAATAGCACGTATTTCCAAGCTTTGTTATTAAACAGGTGAGGGGGAGTGAGGGATTTGGACAGTCCTTTTTCTGGGTATAGGAGCTCATGCTCACTTTGAGTTATTTAATTTGCTTCAGAGAAAGGCCCGGGCAGTGGGTATTGTATATCAGGATACGAGCACTAAAGCTTATGGTGGCCTTTCTCAGATTGATTCAGAGTCAGCCTTTCTGCGTAGATAGATGCTTGTTGCAACCTCCTTATAAGTCACCTCCATAGCTGGCTCTCATGTCCTGGGGCCCGATGTTGCTAACAGCGCATCTCCTTGACAATCCTTTTCTTTTTTTTTTTTAAATTTTATTTTTTTATTAATTTTTTTATTTATTTCTAGGAGAGAGAGAGAGAGAGAGCGTGAGCAGGGGAGGGTCAGAGAGAGAGGGAGATACAGACTGTGCAATAAGCTTCAGGCTCTGAGCTGGCAGTCAGCACAGAGCCCGACGCAGGGCTCGAACCCATGAACCGCGAGATCATGACCTAAGTGAAAGTCGGATGCTTAACCGACTAAGCCATCCAGGCGCCCCTTGACAATCCTTTTCTTAATGAAAAAGATTTTTTTTTTTTCCAGATCACTTCCAAAGTAAATAGGAAGGGGTTCCCTTCACCTAGCCTGTTGAGGTGACTTTCAAATAGAAAAAGAAGAATGTAATGTTCAGGGAAGGAATGGACTTAACCTGTACTGGAGAGTGAAATATATAAATTATAGAATTAAGCATCTTTGATGCACAACATTTCTGTGAGATAAGCAGTACAGACATTGAGTGTGAAAGCCCCATCTTACAGAGGAAGTCGAGGCCGGGAGAGGTGAGGTAGACGTGCAGAGAGCACCACCCAGGGCCGTGTTTTCTTACTGTGTCCTCAAGGTGTCAACCTGACCTCAAGATCCGAGAACATTAGGTCTTGCATGTAGTAGGTGATTATTAAAGATTTCTTGTGCTGAACTTGAAATAGCAGAGGCAATTTTAACCTCATTCCCTTACTTTGCATCCTTGTAGGGGCGTTCCTGATTCCCTATGTGGTGTTTTTTATTTGCTGTGGAATTCCTGTTTTTTTCTTGGAAACAGCTCTGGGACAGTTCACGAGTGAAGGTGGCATTACATGTTGGAGGAAAGTTTGCCCTTTATTTGAAGGTAAGCATTGAGTTGCAAAATGCAATGGCGCCTGGGCGATGTCCTGCTGTGAAAGGTAGCTGAGAGTGTTGTAACAACGAGGAAAGAGACGCAAGTCACTCCCTTTGTTCTTTCAGGCATTGGCTATGCAACACAGGTGATCGAGGCCCATCTGAACGTGTACTACATCATCATCCTGGCATGGGCCATTTTCTACCTGAGCAACTGCTTCACCACCGAGCTCCCCTGGGCTACCTGTGGCCACGAGTGGAACACAGGTATGGCCCCCAGGGAGGGTCTCTCTGCAGGTCCTGATGGAGGACCTGGGGTTGGGGGTATGCCCTTGTTCTGGACATCAGTCCTGGCCTCTTGACATGAGTCCAGATCCCACTGAAGCTGGAGATCACTCTGCACTCGGTCTGGCTGCATTCTGTGGGTTAGAGCCCCGAGCCAGAACTGAGCCCTGGGTCAGGAATTGGCAGGGGTAGAAGAATGGGGATGTTCCTTCCTCACTTTGCCGAATACAGAGACTGGGCCCTCTGTGGGTAGAGAGGGGTTCTGGCTCTGGTTCCAGCCCTGCCCCTCTGGGTGTCAGATTTTTCTCCGTAAAATGAATGGGTTAGGCTAGATCAGGGGCTGCAAGCCATCAGCCTACAGACAACTAGGCTTTAACTCAGTTATCAGTGAGTTTCAAAAATCTATTTGATTGCCAAAATTTAAGAACCAGAAGACCTCACATGAAAATCCAGATTTCTAGCTTCTCTTGAAACAAATTAAAAGATGTGGCAAGAGCAGACCCACATTCCCACATTCTTGCTGGGCAGCAGTGCTCGGGCTGAGAAGCAGTTGTCTTTGGATAAGGCATCTGTCCACAAGTTAACCACAGTCTCCACCCGGCTCACATGGCTTCTTTACTCTCCCTCTCTATCCCAGGTAGAAATTTGAATTGACCACTCTCCCACTCCCTTGAATGGATGACTTTTTAGATTGCTTTGCATTCTGATGTGCTGTTTGCTTTTCAATTTGCCCATCCTATCAAGATGGAGCCTTAAAATCCAGGGAAAGCAAGTAACATGATCAGTCCCCATCTGTGATGGCCGTGCTCAGAGCAGACATCACTAATCGATTGCAGAACTCTTTCCTTTCGAGTCCTGTCTTGGACTCAGAACCCTTGTCATCAGTGCTCCAGGTGGCCCTTGGACTGGAATTAGCACACATGCTTTAAGCTGTTCAGCATCTGTGTTACAGCCTGTGGTTGGTTGTCGCTGGAAGGGGCATTTCTTCCTGAAGGCTGAGATACAGTAAGACTGGGTGGAATGGGGGTTGCCAGCATAAGGAACAGTAGAGATTAGGTCTAGACAGTGTGGTGATGTCGCTTCCAGCCCTGCGTGACTGCCCTGATCCCTCCGTCGGGCTTTGTGGGGGTCTCACTGTCTCTCTTGACGGCACTGGCTCCTAACCTTTCTTTGGCCAGGGACTTCATAGAGATGCTTCTCAAATTAAAATTCAAGGATATATTCTTGGAGGCCTGTAAGTCCTCCATGATAATTTAATTGCGTGTGTTTAGTTTGAAGACACTCTAAAAAGACTCACATGTTCTAGATGGTCTGCACAACCACCTTGTCACTGAGGACGGTCAGGAGACTTCGGTGCCTGGCTTTGTGCGTGTTGACAATGTGAGATGGGCTCTTGATGAATAGGATGCTGGTGGCCAGTGGAGGAGAGCACAGAGATGTCATTTCTAAATGGTGCTTCGGTAGTCAGTGGGGTCCAGTTAAGAAAGCCACATGCTGCGAGGGGAGATACTGCACAGTGTGAGCAGAGGAAAATGGTAGGATTGCTTCTCGCGTAGCCAGTGGAAGACTAGGCAAGCTGAACTCCACAGGCCCTGCTTCCCCCCGTTTGGCCCCACTTTCCTGTCGGGAAGTGCACTTAATTTCACAAAATGGCATTGTCCTGCACATCCCATTTTATGCTATCGATTTGACTTGTGTCCTGTAGTTGGTATTTAATGTGTGAGCTTAATCCTGGTTTCACGGTTGTATGAGTGCTATAGTCTCAAGGACTTGATAACTCATTTATTTGTACATGAATGTCATTTTAATAAAACTGCCTTGTCAATGTTGGATGTCTGAGAAATCTTTTTACTCTAGGGGAAAAAAAAAAAAGAGAAACACTGTTGTAAAGACCGATCAAAACTAAGGGCTCCCTTCCCTGGAAAAAGGCACACGGGCAGCTGTAATCTCAGGTTTTCAGACTCCCCTCAGGACCCCGTGGTCCCCGCAGACCCCGCTCCTTTCAGAATGTGGTTAGTACACACCAGGAGGAACAGGAAGCAGGCCGACTGCTGGGGGCTTTGCCGCAGCGGACCGCCAGCCTTTCCTCCCCTGGCTTGCAGCCCCCTTTCTCTCCTAGTGTGTGAACACTCGTGTAAAACATCGCGTGTAGGATGGTGCTTCCTGCTCCAGAGGCTGCGGAGGTAGTCAGAGGGTTTGTACACCTGTCAGCAGAGAGCAGCGCCAAAGCGAAGTGAGCACGGGCTCCGTGCCGGCGCTGGGTGCGGGGGCCCTCGGGGAGTTCACGGTCTGGCGGCGCAGCTCTGTAAACAGGGGTGCTGCAAAGAGGTCCCGCGTGGGAAACAGACCTGGGTGATAATCCTAACAAAGGAGGCGGAGCACGGGCTGGGGTTGGCTCCCAGTTCTGTCCCTAACTGACTTTATAGAGGAGGCAGTGGGCGTGGATGTGGTCCCTTGACTGTTTCTGAACCTTAGAGTCTCCTCTTCAAAATTAAGGGAGTCGGAGAAGGTGGTTCCTTGGAGGGTCTTTAAATTTTGCTTTCCTTAGGATTCAGGAGAGGGAGGTTGAGGAAGGCTTCCTGGAGGAGGGGGCCGATCTGGGCCATTAAAATCCAACGGTTGGATATTTTTACCTGAAATTCAAATCCCCCTTGGTCATCAAGTTTCATGAAATGAAGAGACATCGAATAAATCCTTTCTTGGATTGACCAATCGAGTGAGGGAATGAGGAAGAAAGCAGGAATTCTTTACACATACAGGCTTGTGCCATTTCCTCCAGTTACCGCATCTTTATGATGCAGCTGCGAGGTTAGGGTCTTTCTACGTAAAGGAAAACTGAGTCTCAAGTGCATTACTGTCATAGGGACGCTGTGACTGACTCACTTTTAGTCCCTCCGCCCCTGCTGGGGCCACCGGGCAGGACAGATCAATGCCATGGACAGGCCTTCCGTGGCGAAGTAGAAAAAATGAGAGAAAATCCAGGAACCGCGTAGGAGGGAAGAGTTTGATGGGGCGTATGGAGTGGAAATGAGAGACGGTGTCCTGCCCCCAAAGCTTTCCCTCCTGTTCTAATGAGACCCCACCTGTCTCCTAAACTCTAAACTATTGATTTTCCTCCCCTGGTTCTCTGAGGCGTGTTTGTTTGGAGTGGCTAGTTAAAACCCCCTGGTTGCGCCATCGGCTCTGAATGTTTCCCAAGGCCCAGCCCTCGCAGAGGTTAATCTTCTATTTCTTGTCTTGTTTCCACTGTAGAGAATTGTGTGGAGTTCCAGAAACTGAACATGAGCAACCACAGTCATGTGTCCCTGCAGAATGCCACCTCTCCCGTCATGGAGTTTTGGGAGTAAGTGGAAAATGACTTGTGTCCCTCGGCCTGAGGGGCCTCTGTCCCGGTTCTGCTCAGTTAACCTTGTCCCCAGCCCTGGAAACAGCCTGACCCTTCCTTTCTCCGGCTTCGCTCTCCCTGGCTTCTGTGGGCATTTGACTGCTTTGGAAACCAGTGCGGAGATGTGACACATTTCCCGAAGGAGCAGCTGAGAGAAATGTTTTCTTGTTCTTTGATGACATGTCAGCATGCCTTATTAGGGCAGGAAATGCTTGGTAAAAATGACAGTTTAAAAAAAAAAAGTGTTTTTAACAAAAGAGGAGATGAAGCATGTTTGCTATAAGCGAAGTCGAAAGTGTATTTAAGCCTGGAAAGCAGAAGCCTCCGGGCGGAGGGGGCAGGCTAGCTTTCTGTCAGTGTCTGAAGTGTCATGTGCAAAGGAAGCAGGTGAACTTGAATGGATAAAGGTTCTAAAGAGGCAGGGTTCACGTGTGCGTAAGGAAGAGCTTCGCTTCACGGCACTGTCTGCAAGTACTTAGAAGGTTGTGATCACCCACCCCTGAAAGTGTTTAGCTGGTGGAGGGTGGCTAATCACTGTTGGGGAGGTGCCCGAACCCCCCAACATTACAGGCGGTAATTGTGCGAAAGGGCATTTTCCCAGAGGCGGGCATTCTTCATCCGCATCCCAAAGGGGACTCTGAACTGGCAGTTACGGGGATGCCACATACTGTTAGAAACGTGGTTCACTGCACAACCCTAGGGGGCATCATTCATATTGTGAAATGTGTGCTCCAGAATTGTGTAGCGCCAACCTGTGTAACAGTACACAGCGGCCCTGACGTGGGGTCTTGTGAGTAGAGATGGGAAGATCACCTAGTTCTGGCTATTGAAGAGACGTTTCCTCTGTGGGTCAGAGGTTGGGCTAAATGATTTCTGAGACTTTTCAACATAAAGAAAAGTATGGCTTTTTTCAAGAACATTCCCTACCCTAATGCTGATGATATGTAGTGTAGACGGGCAGTGGTTTTGTGAGTGATTTTAATTCTCTTCCTGGATACCATTCATCTCCTTCCCTGTCTAGAAGCCATGATGCTGAATTTAGACTTACCATTGTCATGTTTATAGTGTGTATGTGTGTGTGTGATACATGTATGCACATTATATATTAATATGTAATTATAAAGTTTAATAATAAGTTTTATATAAAATTACCTAGAAACTATGTCTGTATTAGCTACGTATATGTTTATCTATCTATCTATCTATCTATCTATCTATCTATCTATATCTCCCAAATAGTACCTAGATCTTTCTTGTGTATTTAAAAGGTTTATATCGATGGTATCCATTACCCACTTTTCTGGCAACTTTGTTTCTTTGCTCAGTATTGGTTTTGAGATGTTCCCATGTTGCTACATGCAGCCTTGGTTCATTTATTTTTTCCTGCCGTATAGTATTTCAACATACAAAAAGACTACGTTGTATTTAGCCAGCTCCTCTTGATGGACATCTGGACTTTCTCCCTTTTCTCAGTGTTACTAAGCACCCTGAATGAATGTCTTGTCCACTCTTCCCTGTGTGGGTGAATGAAGGATTCTAGGCCATATACCGAAGAGTGGGATTGCTAGTGGCAGGGTGCATGTTTGTGATCGGTTTTATAGGGTAATGTCCAATTGCTTTCTGAAGGATTGTTTTAATTTACTCTCCAGACAGTAGTGTATCCATATTCTAGACAGCATTTGGTCTGGTGAATTTTTAAGTCTTGCATCCGACTATTCTAAATTTGCATTCCTCTAATGACTTGTGAGGTGGAGCACATTTCATGTGTTTTCCTCTATTTGAGTTCCTCATCTGTGAACTTCCTGTTGATATCCTTTTCTCTTTGGCTTGTTTGTCTTTTCTCATGGGTAAGGACTCTTGACACATTTTAGATATTAGTATCTTGACACATTCTAGATATAAATATGCTGCAAATAGCTTTCCCCAGTGTGTGGCTTTTCTTATTTATTTATGGCATTTGGAGTTTCAACTTTATTGAAGTCAAATTTGCCAGTCTGTTCTTTCTGGTCTGCACAGTTGGTGTGTTATTTAAGATGTATTTCCCTACCCAAAGTTGGAAAAAATCTTTTATATTTTCTTCTAAAAGTTTTAAAGTTGTGGGGCGTCTGGTGGCTCAGCCAGTTAAGTGTCCGACTTCAGCTCAGGTCATGATCTCACAGTCATGTGTTTGAGACCCGCATCAGGCTCTGTGCCTGGAGCCTGCTTCAGATTCTGCATCTCCCTCTCTCTCTGCCCGTCCCCCACTTACACTCTGTCTCTTAAAAATGAATAAATGTTAAAAGTTTTAAAGTTTTGTGTTTTCATATTTAAGAATATAATCTACCTGGAATTTTATTTTTTGCACATGGCATGATGTAGGAGTTCAGGGTTGTTTTTCTTTTTAATGTAAATTACCAAAATTTCCAGTCATATTTACTGAACTATTCATCTTTTCCCTATGATTTCTAATGCTATCTTCCATGTATTTCCTAAAAATACAGGTCTGGTGTGGGGCTCTTGTTCTGTTCCATTCATCTCTTTGGCTAATTGTGTGTTAATACTACACCCACATTTTTATTGACAGCCTGGAGCTGGTAATACAAGTAGAGACTTATCTTTGTTCTTTTCCAAAATTGCCTACTAAATGAATCTTAGAATCAGTTTGTGAGGTTAAACAACAATAAAGAACAAAATAGCATCATGGGGATTTTGGTTGGAAGTATATTGAATTTATAGGTTAATTAGAAGAAAATTGACATCTTTATGATTAAGCCTCTCTGTCTATGAACATGGTATAGCCCTCCATTTATTTAGGTTTTTTTTAAATGCCTGATGCATTAGTGTTACTTAAATGTCTACAGAGTGGCAGCATTAGAATACCTGGTTAGAAATGCAGATTCTCCATTCCTCCCCAGACCTACTGAGTAATAGTCTCAAATACAGCATACATAAGACATGTGCTAGAGAGGTTACTGTGGTAGGCGGCCTTGTGTGGCCCTTCCAGGCCTATTGGGCTATGATTTCCCAGAGGAATGTCCCAGAGACTTTTTTGCAACCTGCATATTTTGAGGGTCTGTAAAACAGGGTCTCTTTGCTCCCTTAGAGAGCCGATCCTGAAACCCCACAATGGAGAAGATCTCTGTGTAACTTACATTGTTTTCCACCATTTATTTCCTCTGTATCACATATAGAAAACCTCAGTTAAATCATTTTTTGTGCAATGTGTTTGATGTCTGTATTCTCCAAACGGTAGTCCTAAAGCAACACCTTGTCTGGCTTTACTTACTACTGCTCATCTATGGAAGATCCCCGAAGAGTGTTTACAGAATGCATAGATGCATGTGAGGAAGGCAGGCATATTGTAATATTTTCTTGAAAATACTACGTGAAAGGTCAGAGTGAGCTTTGGCAAGTACTCACCCTGTCACTGAGATGCCTAGCCAATGCCACTGATTGCTTCCTGGATCCCTTTGCAATATCCATATATCATCAACTTATTTGGGCACAAAGTGGTGAGAGGAGACAGCTAATCTGTGTCCTCTTGTTTAACTGGACATTTTGGCCTACCACGTGGCCATTCTAGGTGAAAGTCCATGGGAGAATGAACCCATGGTTCTAGTTTTCTATTAGATTTCATCTGTATCATCTGTGTAGTGTTGAATTCTACATCCTAAAAGTACTCAGATACCTGTGTGACACTCACCTTTTCATAAGTTGCTTTTGTCAGACAGTTCTTTTATGTATGTATGTATTTTTAATTTAAAAAATTTTTTTCCATTCATTTATTATTGAGAGACAGAGCACGAATGGGGGAGGGGCAGAGAGAGAAGGAGATACAGAATCCAAAGCAGGCTCCAGGCTCTGAGCAAGCTGTCAACACAGAGCCTGACGTGGGGCCCAAACCCATGAACCATGAGATCATGACCTGAGCTGAAGTCAGACGCTCAACTGACTGAGCCACCCAGGTGCCCCTAATGTTTCAAATGTTCGTTTATTTTTGAGAGAGACAAAGAGAGACTGCATGAGCAGCAGAGGGGCAGAGAGAAAGAGGGAGATACAGAATCTGGATCCAAGCTCTGAGCTGTAAGCACAGAACCTGATGCGGGCTTGAACTCACGAGCTGTGAGATCATGAGCTGAGCTGAAGTCGGACGCATAATTACCTGAGCCACCCAGGCGCCCCTGTCAGGCACTTCTCATTCATCTTTTCCCAGAGATGAGCTTGGAAAGGAGACTCTGTGAGATGTTCATAACATCCTACGAAAAGCCATTGGGGCCATATAAGTTTGAGAAAGCTGTGCCCTTTGGCAAGAACACCGTTATCTTTGATTAACTCACATTGCCAAATGAATTTTCCTGTGGAATCCTTTGGAATCTTTCCTTTCAACCCCCCACCCCACCCTCACTCCTTGAATGCTAGCAGTCCATGCAGCAGTTTGACACACACTTTGCTGGGAGGGGGTTCTCCCTTAAATTCAGCTGACAGCTGACTTCGGGGGCTGAGGATAGAGCAGGCCCGATTCCTTGCCCGTGTGACAGCTCTTCAAGTATTGGATCAAGTTTCCTCAGACGCATTTCTTCTTTGGTTCTTTCTGCGGTTTCCCTGTGTGGCTGGGTCACGGATGTCCCACGCCGGCCAGGTCTCAGGCATGCTCCCGGTGCCTTTCCTCACTGCCTTTGACCTCATTCAGGCCCACACTCTGCTCGGTCCAGTTAGACTGCCCTGGCTGCCTGCTCGTTCACTCGTTCCATAAACGTTGAGTTCCTTGTGTTCCTAGGAGGGATGCTGCACATTCGGAGGAGCTAGAAATGTGGGATGCGCCCAAGCCCTCCTGAAACAGAGGTGAGACAAACCCCTAAACTGCCCTAAAATCAGGTCCAAGGCGCTACTTCCCTGCCCATGACTGGCCATGGCTTCACCTTGACCTTGGGCACCTGGCCCAACCCACCCCTGTCTAAAAGGTTCACTTCCCTTTTCAG